TCGAACCAAACCCCGAGCATCTCCGGGCAAGGCAGAGAAGAGGGAGCAGCACCGGGGGTACCGATGTGGGGTTCCCGGGATGGGATCTGCCCCCCGCCCCCGAATTTTGAGCCTCCCACCCCCATCCCCCCTGTCTTTGGGGAGAGTTTTCTGGAGAAAGGCTTGGAACAACACCAGGCAAAGCGCTTCCCTGGCAGGGTCCCCTCTTTCTCCTGGGGGGTCCGGGGAAGGAAAAGCTGCTCCCAATTACAAGAGGCGCTTTCCCATGCGCAGGCACTGGCAGGGCTCGCTGCCTGCCTTGTCCCTCCCTGCCCTGGGATGCTGTCTCAATCATGACTTCTCCATCCTCTGCCAGATCCTGCGGGTGCCCTGCCCTTGGCTGTGCCCACTGCCACCCCCTCAGGCTGGCTGTCACACCGCCCCCCAAAATCCCCAAAATCCCCTAGCTCTGGGCTGGTGAAGGGTGTCAGAGGGGGCCATGGGGCTGAGCTTGGCTCAGACACCGCTGTCAGCAAACCAAGACCCCGCTGTGACGGGCCCTGGGGGTGCCTTGGAAATCCTATTTTCATTGTGCCTGGTCTCCATGGGGAGAAACCCAGGGCTGCAGCAACTCACAGACGTGTTGCTGTGCCCAAACTGGTGTTGGGCAGACTGGTATTGGTGGCATAGCCCAACCGAGTGGCCCAGGGCTGGCTGAACGCCTCGGGTGCCGGGAGGTGACCGCTCCTTGTGGGCTACAGCCATGTCTGGCCGCGTTTGCAGGAGGAGGTGGGGTGTTTGCTCTCTTCTGGCTATGTTTATAGGAGGGCAGGTCGCAGAGTGGTTACACACAGGGCTGCATGGAGCCCACGGCATCCCAGCCTGGCACGAGGTAGAGGAGCTTCACGGGGTGCTGAAAGCTGGTGGAGAACCCTCCTGAGGCAGGGACAAGGACAGGATGTGGCCACAATGTCCTCCCAGCACCCACACACCCTCTGCTTCACAAATCTCGTCTTTTTTGGGGAGCAAAAGGAGCCATACCTCCCTTCCAAAGAGTTGTGAGATGACATTGGCAGCCAAAGTGGGGCTGGAGTTGGCGGCTGAGTGGTGACAGTGGGGTTGTGCACATGGCTGGACATCACCAGCGGTGGGTGAACAGGGGATGTGGGGTGCAGTAGGGGTGGTGGGGAGGGGTTCACGGGGGTTGCAGCTGAAGGCAAAGGCTGCCTGCAAGAAGCTGGGGGAAGAGCAGCTCCAGTTTTGCCCTGCCTCCTGCTTCATGAACTTTTGGGGAACCTCACAGGGAGGGGAAAAATTGACTTGATTGTATCTGATAAGCCACTTTTTCCCTGTACCAGAGAGCTGTCCCGGTGGCGGAGTGGGGGGGGAGTGGGGGGGGGGGAGGAGGATGCTTGGCTGAGTGCGGGCCCTGTTTGTGAAGGATGAATGAATGACTCACGGCGTGCCGAGTCTCCCCGCCGTCTTCATCGTGGCAGCGGCAGCGCTTCCCTTTTGCAGCTGCTGGGTTTATCAGAAGCTGTCATGCTGGGTGGGCTCCCCGGGCAGCCCACGTCTGCATCCCCCAGCCTGCAGGTACCCTTCTCCCCCAGGTTGCCTGGAGCATCCTGGGTGGGGAAACCCCTGTGGATGGTGACGGTGCATCACCTGCCGTGACTGAGCAGAGCACTCAGTTCAGATCCTCTCTTTCCGCTCCGCTCCTGTTCAAAGGCAACTCCAGACTCTTCCTGCTCACGCAGGGCTCAACCTCCCTCCAGTTTCCTGCCGAGTGCGTTCCTGGAGAGCTTATTCCCCGTGGGTTCGTGCCAACATTGTGCTTTTAGTTCAAGACCTCTTCTCTCTCTCCGGTGTTTACCCTGCTGTATTTATAGCTTCCTCATTAGGCTAAACAAGCCAAGGATTCTTTGCCTCCTCTTCTCCCATGGGTTTGGCTCTGGAGAAGAACCCCTCACGAGATGCTTCCTGCAGGAGGGGGCAGGTGCTGGCTTGTGGCTCTGCTTTTCTCCCTTCAGAACACTTCAGCATCTCTCCCAACTCGTTTCCCCTCTTCTTGTTCAGGCATGGGAGAGGGTGGCTCTGCCCCTGCGCTGAAGGTGTAGCCAAGGATGGAGTTTGGATGGGACAGGAGCTCTTCCCTACAGGCGACATGCTGGGGACTCACTGGCATTTGGGATGCTGATACAAAGCCAGCACCAGGAATTAGCCCTGGGATGTCTAGGGTGACTCGCTGGGATGTTTAGAGAGCTTTTGGTTTTTCTAAGTGTTCCTGTGGTTACAACAGCATCGCATGTGTGAAAATCACCAAAACTCTCCAGCCGGGCTTGTAGTGACCTTGCGACCCGAGTTCCTACCAGCAAATCTCTCTGCACTTCCCGGTGATGAGTTTTCTCCTCCCATTTAGGCTGGGAAGGTGGGGAAGGGTGTAGATGCCTTGCAGTTGTGGTTGAGTCGCCTTCTCCAGCAGCCAGATTCCCATGGACCATTTCCATGGAAAAAGGAAAATTCCTCTGGAAATTAGAAGCAGGTTTGCGGTGTCAGGGATCAGTGTGTTAATAGGAATTATCTCTCGAGTCTGGCTGCTTCCCAGGTCTCTGAGTCACTCTGGCACAGGGGTGGGACGGGGGGGGCTTTGGGCTCTTTGGGATGATCACAGCACCCACAGCCCCTGGAGCGTGTGCCGGGATCTCCGGTACAGGCAGAGGGATGGGCTGGAAGGTGCAACTCATCCTTCTCTCCAGCAGCATGAGTCTGGGACATGGGAAAAAAAACCTGGCAAACATCTCCTCCACTTATAGTGTTTGAGGTGGGAGAGGTCCAGGAGAAAGGAAACAAGAAGCCCAAAGTGATTGTCAAGACCTGACTCACCTCCATCCTAGCGGGACCATGCACTGTGGTCGCATCTGACCAGCAGAGCCTGGGCTTGCTCCAGCAGGGATCGGTCCTTGCTGCAAAAGCTCATGAGGGATTTTGGAAAAGTCTGGCTCGCCGAAGGTGACATCTGCCACTGCCCTGCTCGTACACATTTCCTGAAGATGTTTTCGGAAGCAATGGATGGGCTGGAGGGAGCTCAGATGAGACCTGGTGTTGTGGGACATGGTGCTGGCTTATGCAGGTGGTGATGGCCTGGGGACCTGGCCCGGGGACCTGGGGACACAAGTAGGACCCTGCATCCACCAGGAAAGGGGAGGATGCTGCAAGCATTTTGGAAATCAACCCTGGGCTCCCCAGAGGCCATTCAGCTTTGGTCCCCTCCTCTGAATGCAGAGACAGCCGAAATAGAAACAGCCTAATAAAAATGACTCTGGACCCACAGAGATTGCCTTATAGGGAGAGGTGGAAAAGTTTAGGGCTCCTTCATCTAATGAAATCCATCTAATGATGGTGGAAAGAAGGTAATTTGGGCATCTTCTGGTTTATCCCACCTCCTAAAGTGGAGAGACAAGGGACACCAAGCCTTGTTGAAAAGTGGAGAGACAAGGGACACCAAGCTTTGTTGAAAAGGCAATGCTGGAGATGCATGGAAGGGAGAGGGGGTGGGAGAAGCTGCCAGCTTTGGGGGAGCATCACCGCTGAGGCAATTTGGGGAGGGTCTTCTGCAGAAAGGGACTGCCCTCACAACCCGTTGCGCCTTGGGGAGCTCTGAACAGGCCTCAGGGCTGCCTCCTGCCATCCTGCCGCCAGCCCTAAGGGGTGTGGATGTCCCTGCAGAAGAGCACGTGGGAGGCCATGGGGTGGGCACAGCGTCCCCAGAGCACGTCCCCATGGGCTCATGCCCGTCCAGCTGTTTCCTTCGCTTTCCTGTGCTTTCACCAGCCCCTTCCTTTGGGACCAGAAGCCCTGCGTGGCTTCATCCTGGCCAGACCGATAGCCGCAGCTGGAGCCAGGGAACTCGCCAGCCCCTCTTTGATGAAGGTCGTCACGGGCATCGGTGCCTCTTGAATTCAATAGCACCGCGAAAGGCGCCGTTCAGCCCTCGCCTTCCTGCAAAAGCAGCGAGGAAAAAACAATGCAGGGTCTCCACCGTGGGCCGGCCCAGCGCCGTGCCAGTGTTGCGACAGAGCTCCCGACAGCTGTGCTGCAACACCCCCGCAAAGGTCCCCGGGGATGGCTCGGCCACGGTGGCCCGACTTGGCTTTGCGAAAGCCGCTGTCACGCAGGGTGCCCGGGCCAGCCAGCTGGCATCTCCCCAGGCTTTCTTGCAGGGCCAGGAACAGCCCCTGGGGAGGTCTGCAGGAGCCTTGCCTTTGCTTTCCATGAGTTTTGCCCGAGGCCTCAGGGCTTAGGAGGAGCTGGTGGACCCAACCAGCTATTGCTCCATCCGTGTCTTGCAAGGGCCAACACGCAACCCCGGGGGGTTCCTCAGTTCTTCAGCTGCTTTTCATTTTTTTAGCTCCTGCAAGGCTCCCAGGGGGCTGTTTCGTAGCCCCCCTGGGGCTGCTCCACCCCATCCTGGATTTCAGTTTTGCAGCTTTACACCTGGAGCAGGCTGTGCCTAAGGAAGCATCCCTTTTTCCTGGCCTCCCCGATCCCGTGCCCGGCTCTGTTTCCCCTTTCTAGCCATGAGTGTTCCCACAATCCTTGCACCCCAGCACCCCAAAAGCTGCCTCAGTGCCTTGGGGTCTTTGGCTGCTGTATTCCCCCTTCCCACAGTGCCAGGGACAAGTGGTGCATGCAGGGAGAAGGATGTGACCCCCCCAGGGCCTGCGACTCCAGAGGGGCCATTCTCTTGGAGCATCCTGTTGACACAG